CAGTAGACAGTGTAATGACGATAGATTTAGGTTTTTCGGGCCATCAAGCCGTTTTGGCAGAGGTGGCATGGGACGGGATGGTTCGTAGGTATGTGGGTTATTGGAAACTGATTGTGAGGTTACTTCAGGGGGAGGGGGAAGGGTTGGTTTTTAGAGAATGGTGGTGGCACCTCTGGGAGGCACGCAACATAGAGGAGGATGTTTTGGAATGGTGGGAGAAGTATGCTAAATTGCAAATTAAGGAGTATTATCAGCATAGAGGATGGTATGAGGCGCGGTGGAGGTTTGGTTTACAAAAATATTTTGAGGGGCAGCTCAATGGTTTTTATGAAGGGGGCGGGGAGGCTAGATATGGGGAAATAGAGGTTTTAAGGAGAAGATTGAGGGATATACAAAATTCTCGTTTTGATGCGTTACGTGTAAGGGAAGGTTTAGAGGAGGTCCTATGGGGAGGCAGCAGATAACTACGATTATGGGACTAGAGGTGAGTCAAGGGGAGGGGGGCTATATGGTGGGGCAGGAACCTACAACCACCGATGGAATTTTAAGCAGGGGGGGGTGGAGGGAGGGAGAGAGAGATTATAGGGGAAGGAATTCAGGGTATTTTAAGGAAGGAGGAGAGAGAGATGATAGAGGGTAGAATCAGCGAGGAGGAGGTGGGGGAGGCAGTAATGAGTTTCAGGAGGGGAACGGTGCCAGGGATTGATGGAATTCCTAACGATTTTTATATTACACATTGGGATTGTCTGAAGGAATGTCTGGTCTCGTTGCTTAACTGTATGAAGGACGGGGGAGCCTTGGGGGAATTGCAGGGCACGGGGGTAGTTGTTTTGGTTTACAAAGGAGGGGGGGAGAAAACGCTGGGTGCCTATAGAGCGATCTCCCTCATGTGTGCTGATTATAAAATTTTCGCGAAGGTTTTAGGTAATCGCATGAAAAAGGTGCTTGGCAGTGTTCTACATAGAGGACAGTGTGGGATCCCAGGTCGAAGTATGCGTGAGGGGCATGGGAGAATTAGAGATTTTGTGGATGGTAGACAAAGGGGGTGAATCTTGGGGATTGATTGGAAGCAGGCTTATGACTGTGAATAGACGTATGTTGTGGGGTATTTTACAAAAACAGGGTTTTGGGGATGAGATTGTGCAATGGGCAACTACTTTGTATACGCCTGCGAGGGTCAGTGTACAGGTTAATGGGAAGTTAGGTTTGCCGGTGCAGATGGGGAAGGGTTTGCGACAGGGTTGTCTCTTGTCTCAAATCCTTTTTGCATGCATGCAAGACCCATTTTATAGGCTTATAGAGAAAGGAGTGTGGGAAAGGGGAGAGGAGGGTCCTGGCAGATGTGGA